CAATATTCCTGTTCTCTCACTTACTGATTTTCTTTTGTAGAGCGCCCCTCCAGAAATAACTGGACGGAAGTGGCTGTTCTTGCAGGGTAATCTAGTCTCCCGACTTACCTTTCTTAAGTGCTTTGTTAGCAGCTCAGTGCGAATTTCAAGTAAAGAGAAGTGCAACAGTAACAGAAGTTGATGCATTCAATTTAACCAAAAAGCGCATGGCAGTGATTGCAAAGTAGATAAATATTGCAGTATCAGTAGTTGCTTTGCAGACAGAAGATGGAAAAGCATGGATTCATTGGAAAGGTGCTTCAGAAGTTGTATTGGCTCAATGTTCAAACTTTATGGATGAACAAGGGGATGTCAGCCCTTTGACCCCTGAAAAAGTTTGTAATGGTGATGCCGCTATGCTGATCTTATTTTCCCCAGTTGCAAGAGCTACAAGAAATTATTGAGACCTTTGCAAATGCCAACTTGCAAACGCTGTGTCTGGCTTGTAAGGAGCTTCCTCAGAATGAGTTTCTTGCACGGCCTCCTAAGAAGCATTTGACTATTGGACCTCACTTGTATAGCTATCGTTGGAATCAAGGATCCATGCAGACTATGTGTTCCTGAAGCTGTTCAGAAGTGTCAAATTGCTGGCAGTGTTGTGCATGCATTCTTGGCTTATAAAAACCATATTACAGGTCAGGATGGTAATTGGAGACAACATAACAAGTGTCAAAGCTTGAGTGTATAGACAACTATGCTGTATAGCTTTCTTTATTTTTTCATTCTGGTTTTCATTGTTGTAGTACAGCAATATCCATATGATTGTTAAAGAACAAATCTAATATATTAGAGATTTATACATTATGACATATAATTATTACTAAAAGACTTTTATTTCAGTTAGTAATAGTGTTGTTGAGAAAATATAAAATATATACTATAAGTTTAAATATTATTACATATAGAGAATAATATAATTTAACATACTGACAAATAAACAAAATTAATTATACTTTCAACCGTTTATGAAAATTGATAGTATTGATGTAGTTTTAGTAAAAGGAAAACTTTAAAAAAATCAAGGTGTTTTCTTGCAATATTGGTTCAGAGAAAATTAAAGGTGAAAAACTTTATTAAGTACGTATATATATTAATTTATTTTTATAAGTGTTTTTGAGTGTAAATTCAGGTTGTGAATTCCATTTATAAGATTATCCCATCCTTTTTTATTTATTATTATCTATGATTATAAATGATGTAATTTAAGAACTTTAAAATTTTCTAATTCTAAAGGAATAAGTAAAAGGCTTTCTTGGCAAGATGTGAGATGCTCAATTTGAAATATCCTAAATTATAAATATACGTTATATTAGTTTTATTATTGTAAAGCTTTAAATCTAAAGCCTAATAATTTAATTTACATTTAAGAATCAAATTTAGTATGAAAATTAATGAATTATTTGTTATATTATCTTTGTTTCTATCTTTATATGCTAGTTTAAAGACAAGTGAGGAAACGCTTACTCTTATATATTTTTAAATAAAAGTAAATGTTGGAATTGAGTGAAATATTCATTCAAATAAATAGAAATTTATACATTAAGAGTGTTTCCTGGCTATTCCTATTGAAAATGCAAACAAAGATGTGTTCACTAGGGAGGTTAAATTTTTATATCATCTCACCCATAAAATAACAAAGGTTCTTTGTGATTTGAAACTCGTACTATTACTGATGCCTAAAATGTTTTAGCTTGAGCAAAAACCCATCCATGAACAATGATTTTATGTTCTTTGGTTCATCTTTCTCTTCTGTATCCCTTGCTATTGTTTTGATGTTGCTATTATGGATCTGGAGACCAATTATCATCAGCTGTAGGTACGTATGGATATCTACCAGGAGACATATTTGTGCTCCTATCTTCTTAGCTAAGATCTAAGGTCTTGTGTAAACTCATAGACCAAATCCATTAAGATCTGAGTACATGCAGGAGTTTAGCAACCAGACGTTTTGCATATACATCACCGATTTTCAGAATGCTTCATTTGGCTAGCCAAGAAGAAGGCTACCTAGGTCAAGGACTTTCACGATAGGAGTTAAATTCGTCAAATAAAGAAGGTGAGTTGGAAAGTCCCCGAGGATCACAACATTTGGAAGCACTACTAGTGAGGTAGTGCTTTTTAAAGGTTAGAAAGCAAAGCTTTTAAAAGAAATTACTACTATATATTGTTTTTGTTGTTTGATCATACTAAAATGCCACATCATAATGCATTGAAAGCACAGTTTTGTTGAACAGGTTCTTGTAGCTAGCCAGCCTCTTCCTAATAAACACCTCTTACTTTTCTTTTTGCTTGACCCGGCCTTTGTCGCCACGTTTGGATTTTCCGCACTACAAGTTTACAAACTCTATGGATTCTTTTGACACCAGCAACTTGCCAAAGGAGATCCTTTGTTTTTAAAACTCACTTCTTGCGTGAGGGGCGAAAATCGTGCTTGCTTGGGGAAAAGAAAGAAGAAAATCAAGCCTTTCGCGCAATCCTCTGCATTTTTACCGGTGGAAGAATCCAAGTTCGTCAAAAGCGCGTTCCAATCCTACGCCCCGTGATGCGGTACTGCGGGATTCACTATCTCGTCCGTAAAATACACACTCCCCGGAATGGAGGAAGAAGACTACATAATGCCACCGATTCCCTTGCTCCCTGTAAGAGACAAAAGCGTTTGGAAGAACTCTCAAAACTGTGAAAGAAGAAACGAATAAAAAAGAGCGAGAAGCTTACCATTTTGGCTGAGATCACGATGCATTAGATCATAGCGAGCTAAAAAGCCACTGTTCATCCCCCTGCCTCTCTCATTCCTGGGCTCCTCTTTCTGGATCTCTATCCGATTCGATTGCCAGCGATGGAGGACACGTCTGACTTCAAGCAAGCACACAGCAGCAGGAGCGCGAAAATCCCGTCCACCGGTGTACTTAAGCTAGTACCTCGCTCGCCTTCATAATTCACAAGCAAACAGGTAAAAACGGAACTTTTTGTGGTTGCGTGCATACCTCGAGTGCCGGATCTCGCTGCGACACGCTCTTGCGTCCCAGAACAGAGCTCCAAGGACATAGATCCCAGATCTCCAGATTTTCAAGTCGTCCATATCTCCGACTGGTATAAGAGCGGCAGCTTGCTCTCGGTGTTGGCGCTAAGTTGTAGTCTCTCTCTTCTCCAAAACATCATGATAGTTCTTCCGCGGCGCAGGCTCAAGAAGAGTGTCAGCTTCTCGTCTCCTCTCGACTATGCTGCTGCCGCTGCCGCTGCCACGGACACTCAAAGCGTTTCCAGCGCCTTGAACTTGCTCCACATCAACTTGCAGAAGGGATGCTCTTCGGCGGTGTATCCCTCCTCGGACGCGGAGCGTAGCAGCAGCGACAGGATCCCATCTCCATCTCCATCTCCCTCTCCGTCAATCGGCTCCCCTTGCGGAAGCCCGATCACCAAACCGCACAAGTCCAACGACACCGCGTGGGATTATGTCCAGGCTCTGAAGTCCCCGGACGGCAACCTCGACATAAGCCACTTCAAGCTGATGCAGCGAGTCGGGGGCGGAGACATCGGCATCGTTTTCCTGGCGGAGCTCGTCAACAGCAGCAGCAGCTACCGCTTCGCCGTGAAGATCATGGACAAGGAGCACCTGGTGAAGCGGAACAAGCTGTCCAGGATCGCCACCGAGAGGCGGATCCTGGAAATGCTGGACCATCCTTTCCTCCCGACTCTCTACGGCTCGTTCGAGACCTCCGAGCACGCCTGCTTCGTCATGGATTTTTGTCCCGGTGGAGACCTCCACAAGCTCAGGCAGCGGCAGCCGAAGAAGCGTTTCGACGAGGAGACTGTCAGGTTGGTCTGCTTCGAAAGTTTCTCCACACTCTTTCCCTGAGCTTGATGATTTTTCTGTCACAGGTTCTACGCGGCAGAGGTGCTCCTGGCGCTCGAGTACTTGCACATGATGGGAGTTGTGTACCGAGATCTCAAGCCCGAAAACGTGCTGGTAAGAGATGACGGCCACATCATGCTCACAGACTTCGACTTGTCTCTCGAATTCGATGCCGCTCCAAGCATGCTCAAGCCTCATCGCCTTTACGGCTTGAGATCCCCGAGCATGTCACCGTTTCTATCCTGTGCCAATCCTTCTCCGAATCGAGCGACACCTTCCTGCGTCCCTGCCTCTCTCGCATCACCAAAGTTCCTGAAAAGACACGGATCACTTCCAGCTCCAAGGAAACAACCAGAAAGCAGCAACTTGAAGAGAAGTACCTCATCACTGCCGCAGCTCAACGTCGAGCCAGCCCACCTCCGCTCCATGTCTTTCGTTGGAACTCACGAGTACTTGGCACCGGAGATCATCGCTGGTGGTGGTCACGGCGGCGCTGTAGACTGGTGGACCTTGGGAATCTTCATCTACGAGCTTCTCTACGGCCACACCCCCTTCAAAGGCACCAACAACGATGCGACGCTCATGAACGCTTTCTCCAAAAGCTTGCTGTTCCCATCCGACGTGGAAGTCAGCCTCTTTGCAAAGGATCTTATCAAGAGCCTGCTCGTCAAGGACCCCAAAAGGAGGCTTGGTTTCGGGAGAGGAGCTGCGGATATCAAAACGCATCACTTCTTCGAGGACATCAACTGGCCTCTCATCCGCTGGTCACAGCCTCCCCTCGTACCAAAGCCTTTCATCAAGAGCACTACACTAAACCAAGCTCAAGAACAAAGTCCTCAAGACGCTGCTAAAGATCCTAGCTTTGACTGCTTCTAACACCTTTGTGTGAAATACGAAAAACTAGAATCCGAGCTCAAAGAGAAAAAAAAAGGGATGGAAACCGACCGGCTCTCACGCACTGACATAAGAAAAACTTAGATCGAGCTCGAAGGAAAAAAAACGAATGCGAAGACCAAGAAAATTAAAAAAATCGTGTCGAATGCTCATCTATCACTTCTCTCATGCAAGCAAAACCCTGGACCCTTGCTTTGTAAGTCTCAAAACAAAGAACCAAAAGAAAACTCTCGCCCTTGCAATGCGAAACTTAAACCCTGGATCGCTCAAGAACCAAAAGAAATGCTGGATGGATCGATCACTCACTCGCTTTGCCGCATCAACGCATCGCGCTCCTTCTTCACAAGCTGCTCGATCTTCGTCCCCTCCAGCCGCTTGGTGAAGCACGCCTGATACTCCTCCCACTCGGCGCCGCAATCCTCCTTCTTCCACGGCTCCATCTTCTTCACGTACGTCTCAAGATACCACCGATTGAAGCATCGATCGTAGGCGCTCCGCGCCGCCTTGCATGGATCGCCAGATGATCGCCGCGAGGGCGTCGACGATTCTAGCGGCCTCGCCATTAGCCCTAAAATATGGAACGAGAAATGCCATCGTATTTACAAACAAGGAACTTCTATCATATCAAAGCATTGCTTCTTCGTTTTTATCCTAGTCCTGGACTACAGAATGGACCAAAATGGCCGCCTCGTCTTCCACTGGAACGATCAAAACCACCAAAGATCTCGACCAAGAACAAACGAAACGAAGAACTCACACGAACCTGTCACGGCGTTTTTCCTCCTGAGATCATCCGAGGAAGCTGGAGCAGCGGCGGCCTCGGCAGCGGCATTCACAGCCTCTTTCACCGTCTGGACCGACTGAACGATCGTCTCTTCCACCGACTGGACCGAGTGGGCGATGGTGTCTTCCACCGACTGGAGCATCGTTTTGGAGTCGGGCCCCTTTGGTAGATCCTGCTGTGGCTGCTGCTTCTCAACGTCGTCCACGTCGGCACCGATCACTGCGTCCTTCACGGCTTGCACCGACTGGTTGAAGGAGTCTTCCACCGACTGGAGCAGCGATTTGGAGTCGGGTTCCTTTGGTAAATCCTGCCGGGTCTGCTGCTTCTCGTTGTCACCAGAGTCGTCCACCTCGGCACCGATCACTGCGTCCTTCACGGCTTGCACCGACTGGTTGAAGGTGTCCTCGAGAGAATGTCGAATCCTCACGTTGAGCGGCTCCGCCTCTAAATCCAAATGCTCACCTCCATGCTCACCTCCTTTCGTGCCGGCCTCCGTTCCATCTTTGGCAACGCCTTCTTCTTCCCGTTGGTTCCCTCCCGAAGCCATTCTCTCCAGCGCTTCTGTGTAGCGGTAGCGGAGCAAAGTGAGCCTCTGGACGAGAGATGAACGTTTTTTTTTTTCTTTTGCTTTGTTCGTCTGCAAGAACCAACTAGCTCATCAAATCGAGAAAAATTGATATAGAAAGCAAACCGGGATGTGAGAAAAGAAAGTTTTCTTCAAAGAATGTGCGACGGCGGCCCTGCCGTTAGAACATGTGGCAGCGACGTGTTCTAGCCGGATTGCCCAGCCATCCGGCGTTTGGGATTCAGCCACGTCGCGTTCATACAAATTATCAACCTGATAAGTCAACTAGGCGCGAGTACCCTGCATAAGTCACACGAACAACTCGTGAGTTTGATTAGAAGCAAAGTAAAATACACGTTTGACTTTCTTCACGAGCAAAAATACCTGATCATATGGACATTTTCGTCGCCGGTGACCCTTCTTGTGCAGCTTCTGCCTTGCGGACTCGCCTTCCTGATGCTGCGCAAAAGTGAAAAACAAACATTCAAGTTAGGAAAGCGTCAGATTAGAACATTTGCTGCAACACTTACTCCAATGCAAAAGTTTTGGCTGCTGCTAAAACTCTTGAAGAACGGCTCAACAGGCTCGCAGTAGAATGAAGTCGCATTGGAGCAGCTTGACGACGAGTACGCTTGCGCACCAAACATGCTACGTGGATCGGAACCCGAGCTTGAGCTTTGCGGTGTGTAACTGTCGACCATTTGATCGAACATATCCTTGAGCTCGTTCATGCTACTCTGATTCAGCACAAAAGCACAAACAGGTGTCAACTTCGTTGTAAAACTGGACCAAAAACTCACAGCTCGTTCGTGTGTACCTTGGAGCTAGTAGACATCATCGCAACCATCTCGCTCATAAAGCCTTGCATTCCCTGGTTTAAAAAAAAGAGACCGCATTGAGCCGTGTACAAACAAACAACGTTAACTCACCTCGTCATCTCCCTCGTCATAAAGTCCCGAATCATAAAGAACTCTTTTTTTGTCGTCGGATAGCACTGCGATCATATCGTCCATTGAGCAAGCCAATCTTCTGAAGCCCTTACCTGAATAAGCTTCTTGAATGCCCTGGAACTTCGCTTTTGCTTGATCCTCTAAAGAGTGTTGCTTATCTGGATGCCATTTCTGCGATTCATCCAAAGAAAAAGAGCAAAATCAGTTAGATGGTCACAAAAATTCCACATACCATGGCGAGCTTCCGATAAGCGGAGCGAATTTCCGAGCTAGAACTCGACTTTTGGACACCAAGAACAGTGTAGGGATCCTCTTTCCTCTTCTCCATAATCTACCTATCTATGTCCGCTAGTTCTTACCTGTAGATAGTATCTTACACCGAAACTCTACAATCGAGACTCTAGATCCACCGAAAATCCGAGAAAGCAACTTAGAAATCACGCTGCCAGGCGCCGCGCCAGTGCAAATGCTCCAGCCGTGCCAATCCACACGCCCTTGTCGCGCCGGCTAGCTGGAACAGCCGATCGACCTCGTCGAGAACCTCCAACCCTATCCCGCCAGGGTTTTTGGCGCCCATCTCTTCGCGATGATGCATCGCGCAGCTGTTGGAAGCCTCTAGAAGAAAGAAAATGATGCCAGCATGTCATCTTTGTCCACCGTGGTGGCGCGCAAACACCGCGCGCGGTGGCGGCATGGTGGCAGGATCCACCGTCCATTTTCAAATCCGGATGACGAACCTTCCCTAGATTCCCCAATCGCAGCCGTCGGCGCCAGGCGTACGGACGGGTCCCATTCCCCTGTAAATATCCGATACTAGGACGTACGAACCGGGCGAGGTGGGATTCGATCCCAGGACGTCCTGCCCAATGCGTGTCGCGCGCTCGGTATCGCCGTGAGCCTTGCAAGCGCCCAGCAAGGAATTCCACGCCACCACGCGATCCACCGGCGTGGGGATGGAATTGACGAGCTCCTCGGCCTCGTCCAGGAGTTTCAATCGCCCCAAAAGATCTACAAAACAGCAGTAGTGATCCCCAGCCGGCTCGATCCCGTGATCCAATCTCATCGACAAGAAGAAATCCCTGGCGACTGCCATCAAACCCGAGTGGCTGAATCCCGTGAGAATTCCCAAAAAACTTATCGAATTCGATGCCAGGCCCTCGAGCAGCATCCGCCCAAACAGCTCGATCGCGCTCTCGTGATGCCCGGAGTGGGCATGCGCGGTGATTATAAGATTCCACAGCGAAACATCGCAGAGTGGAAGCGCGTGAAAGAGTTCCCGGCTCTCGGCCATATGCCCAAACCGAGCATATCCCTGGATCATCGATACCCAGGATATTCTATCGTGAACGGACATGAGTTCAAAAGATTCCTTCGCGTGCTTAATATGCCCGTCTTGGGCATATCCCACAATCATAGAGGTCCACGTCACACAGTCCCTCTGGGGCATGGTATCAAAAACGAATCTAGCATCGCTCATGAAATTATTCTGGCTATACACGGCCAGCATTGAGTTCCAGGTGACGAGATTCCGGAATGGAATCAACTGGAAGAGAATCTTCGCATCTTTTACTCTTCCTGCCTTGGAATATCCGCTGATCAGCGAGGACCAAGGGAGCTCGCTCCTGTCGGGGGTTTTATCAAAGAGCTCTTTTGCGTCTTCCAGCAGCCCTAATTGGCAGTAGGCTGCGACGAGGCTATTGCTCGACACGGGATCTTTCTCTGGCATTCTCTCAAACATCGCCTTTGCACTAGGAATATCCCCGCTCTGGGCATATGCGTTGAGAAGAATGTTCCATGTCACCTGGTTGTGCTCGGGGATGGCATGGAATATCTCCTCGGCATCCCGAACATTCCCGGAATCTCCAAACGCCTGCAGCATAAAGATTCTAGGCATCAGCCCGTGCTCTGGCATCTGGGCGTATATGCTTTTAGCATCTTCAAGATGCCCAGACTGGGCATAGACATGCAAAAGCATATGCCAGGCAAAGGCATCTCGTATCTCCATCTGGTCAAAGAGCTTTCTAGATTCTTGCACGGACGCCAGCTGGCCATGGGCCCTAATCATCGTGGTAAAAGTTATAGAATCCCAGTAAGGCATTCTTGTAAAGGCCAATTTACACCTTAAGAATTCTCCAGCCTGGGCAAATGCCGATACCATGGTATTCCAAGTAACTTCCGTTCGCTGCGGTAAAAATTCGAAACGATTCCACGCATCTTGGTAAAATCCTCCCTGCGAAAGCCCTAGCAAGAGGCAATTCCAAGAGACTACGTTCCAGGAAGGCATCATCACAAACACGGCAATCGAATCTTCCAGATGCCCTCTCTCGGCAAAGGCGTTGATCATCGTGTTGAAGGAGACGACGTCTCGCTGCTCCATTCGATCGAACAGTCCCTTGGATCCGGCGAGATCGCTGGAATTGGAGAGCGCTCGCAGCATCGCGGTGGAGGAGATGAGATCCAACGCCGACATTCGCTCAAACGCCTCGATCGCGCGGGCCAGATCGCCAGCGCCGATGTATGCGTTGATCAGGCTGCTCCACGACGAGGCGTCCTTGGCAGGGATTCTCGCGAAGATGGTCTCGGAGCTCGCGAGGTCTCCAGTCCGGGCGTGCGCGGCCAGCATCGTGTTCCAAGTCACGCCGTCGCGATCTTCCATCTTCTCGAAGACTTCCCTCGCCAGATCGATCCTCCCGGCCCTGGCGTAGGCGCAGATCACCACATTCCACGCGACGAGGCTCTGGCGAGGAGCTCGCGGGAGGATTACTCTCGCGGCATCCACGAATCCATTGTGCGCATAGGCCGTGACGATCGCGTTCCAGGAGAAGGAATTCGGCTCCTGGATCGCGTCGAACACACACTGGCACTCGTCGACGCGGCCGCATTTGGCGTAGGCGTGGATGAGCGCGTTGGCGACGAATCGATCGCCGCGGAGCGCATCGCTGTGGAGGATCTTCGCGTGGAGCGATCGGAGCTTGGGCAAATCCGCGGCACTAACACAGCTTCTTATGAGACACACGATTCCATATTCTCGCATAATATTTTCTTCCAGGGCTTAGGGTTCTTGCGCCATGGTCGAAGGCGCGCGCTCCATCGCGAAAGAATCCACGCGTCCTCGACCTCAATCCAGGATTCCAGCGTCGTCATAGTGAGGTAATCGTTTCTCGCTGGGAGATTTCGGGAGATTTCCCATCATCGACACAAGAAAGACTCAAGAACAAGAAAGAAAGAATGCTGGCTGTGGCGCTGCCGCTAGAATCCACGCTGTTTCTCAACAGCAAGAAGCAGCAGCTCCGAGCAAGCTCCAGCTCCACATTCTTCTCCGGCGCTGGCGGGAACCGCAGGAATTTCATCGCGATTCCTTCCACTCATCGCCACGTCCAGAGGCTCCCCGTTGTGACGGCCACAGTGAAGCGGACCAAAGACTACGTCCTGGACAAGGTAGTGGAGCGAGAAAAAAAGGTGAAAGTGGTGAACAAGGTGAAGAACATCCTGGTAAAGCAGCCTGGGAAGGTGATGTCCCTGCGAGATCTTGGGCGATACAGGCACTACATTGGCTTGCAAGCCAAGAGGAGGTTCGTGTCACTGCTTCGCAAGTTTCCGGGGGTGTTTATCATCTTCGAGGAGGGAGCTGGGTGTATGTACTGTAGGCTTACCGCCAGCGCCGAGGCTCAGTACAAGGAAGAGATGGAACTTAGAAAACAGCTAGAGGATTCCGCGGTCTTCAGGCTCCGGAAGTTCTTGATGATGTCCGTGGATAGAAAGATCCTGGTGTCGAAGATCATCCATCTCCGGCACGACTTGGGCTTGTCCGATGGTTTCCACACGCAGTTCCCGGCCAAGTATCCCGAGTACTTTAAGCTGGTTGAAACCGCCATGGGACCAGCGCTGGAAGTTAACAAGTGGGATCCCGAGCTGGCCGTGACGTTCGAGCAGAAGAAGCTGGAGGCGACACCGCAGGAAGACTACGAGGAGATCACAGTGAGCGGAAGAGTTCCAAAGTTTCCCAGGCTGACACTTCCTAGAGGCTACAAGCTTCCCCGGAAGGAGAAGGAGAAGCTCCTCAAGTTCCAGCAGGTGCCTCTCCTATCCCCGTACGACGATTCGAGGGACTTGAATCCAGCGTCCAAGCAGGCCGAGAAGCGCGCCGTGGCGCTGGTGCAAGAGCTCCTGCACCTCACTCTCGAGAAGAAGACGCTGGTGGATCACCTCACGCACTTCCGGTCCGACTTCAAGTTCTCGCAGAGGCTGCGAGGGATGCTCATCCGGCACCCCGAGATCTTCTACGTCTCCTTCAAGGGCCAGCGCGACTCGGTGTTCTTGAGGGAAGCGTACAACGAGAACTCCCAGCTCCTGGAGAAGGATCCGCTGGTGCTCGCAAAGGAGAAGCTGGCAGCGCTTGTTAAGATCGACAAGAGCGCGATGAAAGTGCTCGACGAGAGCGAGAGCGGCAGCGAAGACGACGATGGCAGCTGGTCCGACGACGAGGATATGTCGCCCGAGACGAGGGAGTTCCTCGAGGAGCGCCGGAGGAGGAGAGAAGTTATGATCGCCTTGAGACCCAAAGTGGAGCCTTGGTAAGCACTAAAGGTACGTCCATGGTATGCAGTCAAGCGATCCTATAACCTTTCCAGATTATCCGAGAGTTTTCTTAGAGAATGATAATATAAATTTGTGGTGGCTAACCGCATTCTTCTTCTTATCCTTGTAGTTGCGGCCCCACTTTTCCAGCCGCCATGAAAGCCGCGAGTTTACTCACGGCCGCAGCCGCCACTTACACGTATGTATTTAATGGACTTTCTTCTCTCTTGAGCGCCATATAGTTTGCATTCGAGTTCCAGGATCTAAGCAAAGCATCCGGCGAAGAAGAATCGCGTCGCTCACAAGCAAAGTAGCGGACAATGGTTGGGCTTATGGGAAAGTTTTGGGATGGTGTGCTTGATCGGCCCCGAGCCAAGCAAGCTGGTGATGGTAAGCTCTCTCTCTCTCTCTCTCTCTCCAGATTGCTAATTGGTTTTCTTGGTATCGCCAGAGATGGCTGCGAAAGAAAGAAATGTGGAAGTTCCCAAGGAGAATGTTTCCCGGAAGATCATCCTGGTCAGGAAGAACACGCCAATGAGCTCGTCGCTGTCTCTCCCGTCCTGGCGAGACGTCCTACAGAAGATGGAAGAATCCGCAGCGTCCATGCCTACTTTCGAATCACTGTAAGTTTCTTTCTTTTCTCTGTCAAACCCATCTCTGATCTCTCGATTCTTTCTGGCAGATTGGAAGTCTGTTCCTGCTGAAACGAAGAAATGTAGCAAAGTTTCTTGTAAAAATCACCCAATACAGAATCTAGTTTACCTTTGTTCCGCGGACCAAGAGTAGCAACCTCCTCGCTCTTCTCGATGGTGTTCAGTCGCCCAGGCCTGGTAGCGCTCCATCGCCGCCATGGAATTACCCAGCGACGGTCGCGATGAGAATCCCCAGCGCGTGCAATCGAAACACCAGCGGCCCGATCTAGGGCAATTGAGAAGCAAGCCAATGTGGAAGCCAGGATCGGACGGTGGAGGTGGTGCTGGAAGAATCGAGCAAGAAGCCCTAGAGCAATGGTTCCTGCTGCCAAATCGACACGGAAAAGGAACTCATGCAATAAGAAAGGATAGATCTGTCTCCTCCAATCCATGGCACAGCTCCATCTCCTCTCCACTCCAGCAGTGGTGAATCTGCACACTGAGCTCGCGATGCCGCCCATCTGTCAATGGACTGTTGCCGTTTCATACTCCACAAACGAGAGTTATAGGAGATAAGTTCGCTCTGGATCCAACCTTTCTTCATGGTGATGGATAATGTTTCCAATGCTCAAGATGCAGTGGGGAATTTGGAGTGTACCCTGTCAGTGCCATGCATTGAACCTTGTCCTCAAATCATGGGGCACTCTAGACTTCATCAAAGACTGCATTGAGAAAGGGAAGGCAATTGTTCAGATAGTTAAAACTTCAACACATCTTCTCCACTTATTCAGGCAGAACAGAGCAAAGGAGCTAATGTAATCTTCAAGGTTCACTTTGAAGTTTTAACTTGTGGTTTGGCTTGTTTGAGAACCTAAGCAACAGCCATAGGACAGTGAGATACAACAAAGTTAGCAAGTTCGGGACCTCTTTCATAAGAACAAGTAAAGATTCTGATATTGAGAGCCAATGGTATGAGTTGACAGATGCATACCAACTATGGATATGTCTGGCAAGCTTGAAAATACATAGAGGACAAAACAAAATGACACCCTTCTTTGTCAGTAGTGGAAACTTGTGTTGGCTATGCTTGCAAATCGGAAGGACTGTTACTTGATTTATCTGGCTCCACTTGGTGTCTAAACCCATGATACAGATATGGAAGTAGTCAATCAGATATAAGCTCCTATAGATGGCAACTCAACAGTTTTGTCCAAATGAAGAAAATTTCAAGTGGTTTGCAGCCAAATACTTGATGTATGACCTGATGTAAAGCCCTTTTGAAGTTACAGGCACTGGACTGGCTGCTAGTCTATTTTGAGACTCAATAGAAGAAGTAATTGATCAAGTTAGACACTTGATTAGTATGTAACATTTTGGTGCTCCTCCCAATTCCACTGCAGAGTCAATTTGCCTCTCAAAACCGAACAAGTTAATTGATTGAATTTTTTATTCTTACATGCTTTGCTTCTCCTTCACTCTTTCAAACTAAGGCATCTTTGCTTTTGATGCATCTGAAGGACCATATGGCCAAATTTTATATATTCCAATCCCTACACAATTTTGTGCGAGATTTTGCATATTGAGTTGCCCTCCTACCTTTAGAAAAAATTTTGAGCTAAAAGAATTTAGATTCAAAACTATATAAGTTTGTGTTTCCAAAGAAGGATAAAAAATTTCATCTCTACTAATGTATCTTATTTTTCTCCTTTAAGCTAATTGGAAAAAGGGTAATTATTTAATGAGAGAGCCTTTAATGGCTATTTTATTCCTATTTAGTTCTAAAAATCCACAATGACAATATATCTAAATCTTATTTCATAATCACATATGTTACAATTATATTCATTATCTTTTAGCCCTTGAAAAGAGATTGTGGCCAAGGAGTGAGTTGTATGGTAGCATGCTCAAATTTCTTTTAGATCTTCTTTATAAAATATATATAAACTTCATCTCAAAAGTTTTTTTATAAAGTAGCTTTGGTCAGAAGCTAAGTTTTGAGCTCACAAGCTAAGGTCACAACTTCTTAAACATAGAAAAAAGATTGGTTCATCCTGAATTAAGATTTTTTTCATTCTGATTTAATCTATATTTTCAAATAAATTTGACTAATAAAATATAAATATAAATATAGATCCAAACACAAAAAACAATCTAAAAACACTTCTAAAGCTCCACAATAGAAGAGAAGATCAAATTAGTAAAAGAGTTGAAGTGCATAGTCACAAGGATAAATTACATCAATGTTATGGTTAAGGAGTTCATTATTGTGATTGAGTTGTCAAAAAGTGTTAGTTATATTGTCCAAATTTGCAAAAATCCATCTTATACCTATCCAGATTTCATATAGAGGGAGAATAGAAGAAAAACTTATAAGCATATCTATTATATTTTTATATAAGAATTGAACCAAAATTCTAAGATTGACCATCATATTCAATAGGCAATCCTTATAGCATCCTTTGAAATGGAAAACTTATATTATATAACCTTCTCATTTCTAGTTGGTCATATATATCAGTCTAATGTTGATATCAGTGGTATAAGAATATTAACAACAACATTTGAGAAAGCATTCAATTTGAAACCTACTTTCTCTAGACTTTCAATTTCCTCTTTCAAAAGATTATAACTTCACTTAACTAACCACTCCTTTAGCATGGAATTTATCTTCAAAATAATTGAGATGAGAACATCTATCCCACAATAGTAAATCCAATTTGATTAGTGGCCCTTTACCCTTAAATCTTGATAGCCCTAGAAGCATGGCATTGCTGAAAAACTCAAGCTTAAGCACATAAATATGAAATATTGACTTCGACTCCCAATCATTCTAGAGTAATATATATTGCTCTTGGCACTAATTCTTTAAATTGCCCAATTGATATGAAAAATTGCCTTATGAGTGATAATCATTTCAATCTTTAATATTAGATCTACTTATGTAATAAATGGCACCTCCTCCACTCCATGTTTCTCAATTCTACTCTAATGTCATAGAATAAAATGATAGGTAAAATCTGGACAATAAGAGCTAGAAGGAGTGATGTCAAGCCTATTAAATGTCTTTCATATAGGTTATCCTTATGTCCCCAAGTGGTTTATAATTTGATTCTATAGTGTGAGTAATAAAAAAGAATGACTCAAAAGATGATCCGTTAAAGTTCAAATATATAAAAGAAAAGGTTTATAAACAAAAATGCACCCCTTTCTCCAATTGATTAAGGATTTTGGGATATTAAGGGTTAAATATACTAAACTAAATGATTTTCTAAGAAGTCCAAATTTAGGAGTTTATACTTAATTCTTTTTTGCTTTATCTTACACTAGATAAAAACCCTTGCAATATTGAGTTTAGTCCCTCAATAGTTTTTAAATGATAACTTATCATGTCCACCAAGACACTCTTGTTATTATGTCTTATGTTTGGTTTTATTAACTATTTATGGAAAGCATTTAAATATTTTAATTAAGCATATCTACAGAATATAAATATTGTCTTGAACAAAATAGTTTATAAGGGGTTCTAGATGTATAGTAAGGATAATGAAAGTTTAACTCCCTACTAGATGTATTTGTTATTGTTTTACATATAATTTAAGCCCAAGTTCCATACCATACTAATTAGTGGAGTATTAATATCCTTATGTTATACCATCATTTTATTTGGCTTTATTTAACTCTGTTTTATTTGACATTGGGATATTAAATGCCCTAAGTTTATTTCTATATTACTTATGCTCTTATTCCTTCACTTTTTGGTTACATGTTTAAGTGTTTATCTTTATTCCTTCATTCAGTGGCCTAATGTTTTGAAACTCAAATCCCATTCCATTATCTTTAACACACGTGTCCGAGGATTAAATTTTGCTCCATAAAAGGTATAGAGTAAAAACCGTATGTATTAGAAGCACAAACCATTCTTGAGCTCAATTTTTAATTGTAATAAAATACAAACATTATAAATTTCAAAAAATTAAAGTTTACAATGAATCTAATATTTTCAGAACTCTGAATAAAATTTTCATATTGCATGTATTCTTGATGGATGATAGTCAGTTTTCCAATGTCAACTATAAAGAATCCATTCGTGTGAGTTTTTTTGTGGGATCCTTGTGTTACAAAATTGAAGAGAAATATTGAGGTTACAAAATTGATTCAAACATGGCTAAGTAGGAAGCCCACTCCATCGCACCTCCAACTTTGCAGCTATAAAGAATCCATTCCTGAGAGTTTTTTATGGGGTCCTTGTGTTTGAGGTTACAAAATTGGACAGAAACGATTCAAACGAAGCTGACTAGGAAGCCCGCTCCACTTGGCATGGTGGTGGTCTGCTCTCAGCTGCCTTCCAGACGCAGCAGAAATGAAGAACATTCTCATTCTTCCATTCCTGCTCGCCGGCCATATCACTCCCATGCTAAACCTCTGCTGCAAGCTCGCACGGATCACGCTCCGCATCAACCAAGACGCGGTCGAGACAGTGGTCAAGATCTGGCCGGGGGAGATCTCAGCGCCGAGGTAGCCTTCACTGTGGAATCGATTCCTTTCTCCTGGCCTCCGATCCAGCGGTTAGGCCGTGACACCGCAAAGCTTGCCGACCAGACCTCTCGAGTCGAGCAGCACTCCAATTTCGTTTCTTCTGTCGGATTTTGGATTTGGCCAGGATCTCGCAAACAAGCTGGGAGTTCCCAGAGTGGTTCTCTTCATCACCGTGTTCCTGGAGTGTGGGATCATTCTCCAAATGCCACGGCTCATCTCCCAGAAGATATACAGTCCTTTCACTAGTAAGTTTCTTCTTCCCTGCTCGATCTGGTGAGTTGAACAGAAACCAACGACAATGATCTCGATGTCAAGTTGATCCAGCTGCCTGGGTACCCAGCTTTCAAGACACTCCATTCAATCTTTGGTTTTTTGCGGAGAAAGAGAGAAAGAACCGTCATAGAAATCTCACAGATCGGAAATCCCCCGGTTCCCGCAGTTTCCAGACGCTCTCCAGTGCTAGTGGGACGCGCTCCTGCGATGCATGTCGCGAGCCAAAGAGGCCAAGCTCATCCTCGTCAACTCGTGCCACGAGCTCGAAGAAGAGGCCTACGGTACCGCGCTCGAAATCCACAAGCTCCCAATCCATCTCGCGGGACCACCGGTCGCTTTGTCTCCACTGCAGTGGCAGGACTCCGGCGCTACGTCCGAGTGCTTGGAGTGGCTGGACAGGATCAAGTTACCCCAATCTGTCCTCTTTGCGTCCTTCGGCTCCCTCCTGCCTGCAGCTCCCATCGTCCGAGCTCGAAGAGATCCTTCTCGGGATCGAGGCGAGCGGCAAGAGCTTCCTGCTAGCGTTCCGTACCGATGTTGTTCCGGGCGATCCTTCTCCTTTTCTGCCCGCGTTCCTGGATCGCTACAAGAGCCCAAAGTCAGATCTTGGGAATCGTGAGATGAAAGGAATGATCGTACCTTGGGCTGCTCAGAGAAAAGTCTTACTTCACTCGTCAGTTGGCGGGTGTTTCACTCACTCTGGCTGGAACTCCGCCTTGGAAAGCATCTCAGCTGCAGTTCCAATGATCGGGAAACCAATCATGGGAGACCAACTTGGAATCCGGCGGTTTGCAGTGGATCGCTGGAAGATCGCCTTTGGACATTCCAGAGGACAAGGATAAGAAGTTGCTCAGGGAGGCCGTCGAAGGAGCGGTGCGCGAGCTGTTTGGCAACGAAGAGCTATACGCTAACGCTGCTCGACTCAGCAAATCAGTGAAGAAGGCCCAGGAAAGTGGAACTTCATACAAATGCTTGGCTAGAAAGTAGCCCTAAAAACATTTCTCGTTTTTAAAATCAACGGTCACGACTTCTGCTCTTTTTACCGCTAAATTAAAACCAGAAAAATTAATCATTTTCAATAAGAGTGATATAAATGGGCTTAGATTGTTCTTCGTGTCTCCCGTGTTCTAACAAGATCTCCTGCTGATGGTTTTCCTCAGGTTTGGGGGGCGCTGCGTAGTCCATCGCGCTCTCTCGGTCACCCTACACGTACGTTTGCATGACGTCTGTAGCAAAGGGGCATGCCCAAACAGGTGGCCACGAAGGATGAGAAGATTCTTTTTTTCGTTTTGCATCAGGGCGTTCTGCATCAGGGCATCAGGGCATCAGTATATGTAAAGGATCGATAGCCAACATTATCATCGCCACCTCCACTAGCTTCAGTACTGAGAATGAACAAATTCTCCTCCCTCAAGCGATTCTAGCGCCTAGTTCTCTCGCTCATGGAGTAGCCATACCTTTGTAGCTCCTCCTCCGCGACAAGCTCCGCGGAGCAGGAGTAGCAACCTCCTCGCTCTTGATCTCCAGCTCCTCGATGGTGTGTAACACCCCAGGCCGCGACCCAATGCGCTGGTAGCGCTCCATCGCCACGCCTCCGCCATGGAAACCCACAAGAAACGCATACCCAGCGATGGTCGCCACGAGAATCCCCAGCGCGTGCCATCCGAACACCAGCACCTGGATCGATTTGGCCCGCAGGAGGTCGGCGCTCGCGCACACCGGGAATCCCCCGCCCGGGTGCGCGCCACAGCCGAGCGGCAGGAATCTAGGGTAATTGAGGAGCAAGCCAATGTGGAAGAACCACGAGCCCTTGAGCGCCAGGAGCATGCATCGGACGGTGGAGGCGAGGAAGCTGTACGGATGCGCGATCTCCAGCGCCATGGCCAAAACCAGCCCCGCCAGTACGACTTGCATGAGCATGTGGACAAAGCTCTCCAGTGTGTCGCCCGGGTGATGGCCCAAGTGGAAGACGAAGAGCTCCATCAGGAACCCTAGCGCGAAGATGCCATGGAGCGCGCCATCGGGCAGGGGGAGGCGGCCGGAGATCTCGCTCGCCAGGCCGGTGATCGTGTAGGCCAGGAAGAACATCCCAAATGTGATGTGCTGGAGGCGCTGGAGGTGCGCGGATGGGATGTGGCCGCGGCGGAGGTCGCCGGTGATGTGGGAGATTTGCGTGGCGAGGAAGATGAGCACGGCGAGGAGGAGGATCCAGAGCTCCAGGCATCGCAGCGCGGCTGGGAGCGATGGGATTGGGAGGGGGAACCACGTCCGGCGCTTGAAGGCATTGGGGGATTTGGCGAAGCTTACCAGCGTGTTAGAGAGATGCCACAGGCCCAGCGAGCCAAACAGGAGGCCCTGATCGATGTGCGAGGGCAATCCAATCCCCATTTGGTCGAAAGAACTCGTCAAGGTTTCAAGTGAAAATGTGTTGTTTTATTGCCAATCTTTAGTTTTCCTTAATATAGAATTATCAAAAATTTACTACACATTTTAATTGGATTGTCAACACTTTTCAGCTGAGTCATAATCTGTGGCATATGTGGACAGATCAAAAGATCTATGACAAATTCTAGTTACGTTTTCTTTTGTTTTTTAGCATGATCTAGATCCATCAAAGCTTTATGTTTGTGATTGGATCAAAGCATGGATGCTAGATCTAGATGTTTTTATTGGTATTCAAGTCTGAATCCTGTAATATGTAATTAAACTCTTTTATGAGTTGCGTCATGCCTATTCAGACATGACCACAAACCAAAGGCCATTTTCCTATACATATCCATATATGCAGTTGCATGAAGGATTGCAAGACTCATTTTGTGGATTACACTCGCACAACTCATCCACCTCAAGTTCTTCCAATCCAAGTCCCTCTAGTTCAATTTCCTCTGAGCCAACCTCCCCTAATGGTTGCTCCTATCCATTTTCTCCACCATCTGAAGGAAATTCTTCAATTTTGGTCATCCAGGTCATTTTGAAGCCAACTTTCCAGCACAAGGTGGCAAAAGTGGAAGTATGTTATTTATCAACATCTTTTTCAGTATGTTGAGTAGGTTGAGTGGGCATGTTAACAGAGCTTAACCTGCCTCCAGTCCAAGATCCTTCAAGTCAGCATCGCTCAACCAACTCAGATTGTCTCAGTGAATTGAGTGAAAGCTTTAAAGATGGAGGATAAGTTGCCTCCAGCACAAGACAAAGCTTTTACAGATCGAGAGTTTGTTCAACAGTAGCAGCAGATGCAAGACAAGATCCTCAAGGAGGTGAAGGCCTTACACTTCAGAGATGCTGAGCCATCCCCATTTTGCACTCATTGTAAAGTCCACAGACATAGAAGTGAGAGATGTTGGATTCTCATCCTAAGTAGTGGCCAGCTCATCCACAACAGCAAGCAGCCTCTAGATAACAATGCTATGGTTAAGACTCAAGATAGCTACCAGCAACTTCTACAGCAAAAGAGTCTCGAGGTAAGTCCATCTTCTAGCAAAGGCAAAGGTCCAACTTCATATATTAACACTATGTACACCATTCCAAAATATTTTGAGGCTGGAACCAAAAGTCCAAAATCACTAACTTTTACCCCTAGTACCTCATCTTATCCACTTCAATAGCCCAAGAGTTTGGTGATAGTCCAGTGGAGCTTCTATTGTTGGATAAGACCTCCTTTGCCTTTGATCAAGAAATATTTTGAAATGGATGACTAGCAAGATGGATAAATGCCTAACATAGCTTCTAAACCAACTTTTTCATAGAGACAAAAACAAAGCTTGAGGAGCCTTTAGATGAAGTCCAAGCTTAGCACCATTATTCAAGGATGCCACTACTCCTTTCTATACAGCCTTCTTTGATAGAGCTTGGTGTCCGTGCTTTTAGCAAGCTGGGATTGGTGTTTGGGTTCTCGATCCTTAGGAGAAAAATGTTACTCGTCTTGCAAAGACATCATGATAACTAAGAAGAAGAGAGAGCAACCTGTCCGAAAGGGAACTACTAATATAGATTGAATCAATGCTACTGCAGAGAAAAACTTGGAAATCAGGCTCATGATAATGGGTTGGAGGATCCACCATAACTTCCATATCCTCCATAGTCATTGCAGAAATCTGAGCTTGTGCCTTCCTCATTGAAGTGATTGCTTCATAAGATAAGTTATCTGCCCAAAAATTCTCTTCCTGGGAGACACTAATAAATTTGACCTGATCAAAGTGCCAACAAAGCTCAATAACCTGCTGCTAGAGATCATGTATATGTTGCTTATGAACCTCCCAGAATGTTGGCAAACAACGAGCTGTGAATTCCTGACACACTTTACATGGTAGAATCCTTGGTATTTCGCAAGCTGAAGGCTGATATGATGGCCAAGTATTCTGAATCATTAGCCGGGCAAGGCAAGCTTTGGATCTACTCATGGCATGGGATTACTCACAGCTTCCAGGCATCCCCATGGATGTCATCCACCACGAAATAAAAGTTGGTAGTGTGAGCTAAACCATTCTGTCATAGAATGTGTCGATGCCTTCTGCTGAGTCAAAGGTGCGTTTCAAAACAACATATAGATGAATATGCACATTTTTTTTAATACAAATAGAAATAATTCTGAAATCTATAGAACATGCAAAAAGGTTAGCTATACCAAAATAGAATTTTTTTAGCAACTAATGACATTATAAGCTTATCTAGGTATTATCTGTATAATAATAATAGTAGTAGTAATAATACATATTTTTGGGGTCTTTTGCACGTGGTAACCATCACAATCCACATACAAGGTCGAAGACACTCCAGCACTGGATGGCCCAAGACCACAGGAAAGCTCTAAATGATGAATTTGAGAGGATCTACATAATATAGTTTATTTATATAATGACAATTTAAACAATACAAAGGTAATAATATTTGGATATTCTATAATAAAGTATAAAGAAAATAATATTTTTAATTTTCTATAAAATTAAAATATTTAAAGTGAAGGTTTGCTTAGATATTATAATTTATATCAGTGAAGTCTTAGCTGTATAAATAACAAGAGATAATCCTAGAAATCTTTCACCACAAGTAAGAGATTTAGTTATAGAATCAATAGAATCTGCAATTAATATAATTAGTACTAAGACCCTATGCTGCAATTACAATTACATATATTAATAATGGATTTATAATTTTCTTAACTTCTTTAAATCGTCCACTTCTAGAACGTTATCAATTACTTTGTAATACAGTTCCTGATTACTCTGTTCCAGATATGGGAACGGCATTAAGACCATCATCTACATCAATTCAAAAAGGTTTATCAAAATGATATTGAGATACTATCTTTCGGAATTTTAAAGTATATTTTAGGAAGATTTAGTATTTTTTATGCAGTTGAAGAGAATGAAAATAGCAATGTCTTTTATATTGAAGAGCCAGTAAACTCATTTGGAGATATACATGTATTAGAAGCCTTATGAATTTTCAGTTTTAGCATTTATACTACTTTAGCATTTATATCCACCCATCAAAATTATTCTTTACATATGCAATTAAATTGTAATCTTGTATTTTATAAAATAAATACCATGATTTAGGATAAAAAAAAGTTCTAAAATAACAAATTATTTCTTAAGAATGCAAGTGGATGGCAATCTAGTGGTTTATGATAAATTCTATAACATCTTATGGTCATACAATATTTACAATAAAGGCCTTTAGAATCCAACCTCATTATGTGTGGAAGATATTGGGCAACTTTTTTTTATAATATAGAAAAAAGAATATTTGGAGCGTTCCGTAAATTCTATTAAAAAAGAGGAAAAGTATTACCAAATACTTTGTTACTTACAATATAACAAGCTTTGGAAGAGTATTTGGAGCGTTGGAAGATGAATATATCTAGGAATATACCTGAAAGCATATCCATACTAACCCCTAGCATTTTATAGATAGTGTGATAAATAAAACGTCTTTTTCTTGAAGAAATACATACAATACTTACACTACCAAAATTTTGGCAATAAAAACACCAGCTACCGTATGTGAGTTCGTCCCAAGGACCAAATTCCTGTATTTCGAACAGCGCTCTGCTGCAACAAGAACTCTCAATCAGCCGTTTCAATCAAGATCAATTGATGTACCTGAGACTTTGGACAAGGAAAAACATTCCAAAACCGTAATGTCTCGTCCCCCGCTCCGGTGACAATTGTCTACGAAGGTGAAGGAAGAAACACAGTCAGCTTGAAAAAATTCGCTGCAGCCGCGTACCTGGCCATCGGGAGAAATAGCAAGATATAGAACTCTGTAGGAGTGTCCCGTGAGAGTAGAAAGCTGGAGCAAAGAACACATTAAAAAGTCACAGAAGAACACCAACTTACTTTTGACATGGCCGGGTATCTCCACACTATAATCTGATTCTGCGAATACCCGTGGGTGCTAACAAGTTCATTTACATTTTTTGACCATACCAAGTTGCAAACCTGTGAAAAGAAGAGCACTAGAAACGAGAAAACAAATAACAAATCATACCTGACTACCAGTGTCAACACAGCTTAAATGTGTACTCGTCCCCGTGTTCCAAAATCTTATACATCTATCCGCGGTACCGCCACCAGAAGCAAGCAAGCCATGCTGATGCGGCGACCAAGCAATGGCTTTTACTGCAGCGGTGTGCTCGCTAAACTTGAGAACTGGTTGAGTAGATAGTTGATTCCAAACAAAAAGCTGGAAAAACAAGAAGAGAGTAAAACAATACAATCACATGGGATCCAAACCTGATTATCATTACCACCAGACGCAAGCTCACGGTCATCATAAGACCACTTGAGACCGCAAACCTGGGCAACACAGGAACCATTGAGAGAAATCATAGCAAGCATGTTTTAGAAGAAAGATCTGTCACACCTCAGACTTATGCCCAACAAGCCTGTTGACAAAATCCTCCGGGGCTCGTATATCTCGTTGCAATATGTTCCTATCACGACTGCCAGACGAGAGGACGTTTGAGCTCCAAGCCAAGGTTCCGACTCTTGTTCGGTGACCTCCCATCGTCCTGACCCTTTTGCACCGTGTCGCGTCCCAAATCTGGAAAGAAAACAGAACTTAAAAAAGACAAGATAGCATTCAAGCCATACCTGAACTTCACCGAGGTTCGTTCCTACTGCTAGATACGTTCCGCGTTGCGTCCATCCAACCGAGCAAACACCATCGTTGGGACTTAAGTCACAAAGCTTCGTAACCTGTACAAGAAAGAAAACAAAGCTTCAAGATAGGAGTGGGAGAAAGCCTGAAACTTTACCTTGCTAGTGCATGCGCTCCAGAGATAGACGCACGGTCCAAGTCCCACAGCTAAAACATTGAGCGACGACCAATCCACCAAGTTTAAGTAAAAGTCGTCTTGAAGAGCAGGCGCGTCCAGCACCTGGAAAGAGGAAAAATCCAAGCATCAAACCAAGCGAACTCCCCCAAAAAGCTCCCACCTTGTAAGGAGACCTGGCGATCTTCCGCGGAGCCTTTCGCGGGCTAGTGACCGTTCCAGCAAGAGCAACATCCAGGCCAACCGGCGAGAGAGAAAATGGTGACTCGGGTGACGCGCAAGCTCCAGCACCGCCACGGTGCTCGTTCTTAAATCTGAACAGGTTCCTGGTCGGGCTCATCGGAGTTCTCGCAGAGTCCCTGGATGATCCCCCCAAGAGCTTCTCGGGCGTGTTTGGCACCATAGGCCCCCCGGGATCGCTGCCAAAGAGCTCCGTCCGGAGTAGCATCGAGTAAGCAGCGGCGCTGTCCTCTCTAGTCTCGCTGCCGTGAGAGACATTACTCACGTTGGAAGAGGGCGACTTATCGAGCAGCGCAAAGCCTGTGAGGTTGGAGCTCGACCTGCTGGGGATGAAGCGATCACTATATGTGATTCTATTCACCTTGGGACTGGACGCCACCGCCGCGGCGCTCTCCACCTTGCCCGCATTGAAGCCGGAGCTGGAGAAGACGAGGGATCGCCTCGCCGCGATCTTGGCCCTGGGTGACTCCGCCTCCAATCCCTTGATTTCCTCGGAGAAATCCTCGCAATCTTCCATCTCCGAGTCCATACGGATCCTCTTCATGTAGATCCCGGCGGTCTCACCTCCGCTGTGGGCGCGCCCGCGGCGCCAGCTCCTCCCTTACTCTTCGCTCGCCCTAACCCTACGGGGGCGAAGAACGCTAGTGACGTGGCTTTCGCGCTATAATTTTGACGTGGCGGAGAAAGAATATTCTCCAAATATCACATTTTAGGGTTCCTGGGCCAAAAGGGGGGAAAAGCAAGAAATGAGCTTTGATATGAGCCCGGCGGGCTTGAAGAAGCTGTGTCGGGAGAAGCGGCTGTAAGATCTTCGATCGCAAGGATTCTTCTCATGGATTCCCTCTTTGTGTGTGGAATCTAGGTATGCGAGTCTTCCAGAGCTTAACGAGGTTCTTCATCTCCATCACAGGGTAATGAGGCATTTTCCACTGCTTGTACAGCTTTCACGTCTTTGTTCCAGGGCATAGTCGAGATTAAAGGCCTCGAAGAGTACACTGGATTAAAAACTCTCCACCTCGAGTCGAATGGTATCTATCTTCTTTCTTTCTTCTCTTTTATTCTGAGAGGATTTCTTTGCAGCAATACTGAAGATCAAAGGTCTGGATTGCCTCATGAATCTTCGCTGCCTCTATTTAAACCAGGTAGAGCGTTATAATTTTCGCAGTTCTAGTAAGAAACCACCTCACGATAGAACGCTAGAGAATTTTTTTTTTTTGTAGAACTTGCTCGAAGATGTGGAAGGACTTGATAAACTCCCCCGCTTGGAAGCACTCGATCTGGCAGATAATCAGGCACGCAAGGATTCTTTTTCTTCGTTTGCTTTGTGAGTTTAATCACTGCTTTGCAGATCAAGTGCTTGAAAGGACTCTCTTGCTGCCAGTGCTTGCGTCAACTTAATCTTTCCGGAAACATGCTTTGCCTGGAGGAGGACGTCGCGCATCTCACAGTAAAGACCACACAAACCACTCGAAAACATAATCTCGCTCGTCCTTTCTTTCGCTAGAAATGCAAGAGCTTGCAGTCACTCGACATCTCCAGGAACAAACTTGACAACGAAGAGTCTCTCCAGGTGAAAGAAAATACAAGCTTGTCTTTTCTAATCACTCGGTTTCAGATAATTCAATCGCTTCGTCTCACCCTCTTGAAAATGTCTGGAAATCCGATTGTATCAACGATACCATATTACCGGAAGCTTTGCCTCGTCCAAATGCCCACGGTATACTTTTCCTTCACACTAGAGAGCGAGATTTCGATTTTAAGTTCGCAGCTTACGTACCTGGATGAATCTCCTGTCTCTGAGCACGAGCGTCGCTTGGCAAGAGCATGGGCAGAAGGTGGAAACGAGGTAAGATCCATGGTGCTGATCAAAATCTACGAACGAAAAACCATTTTGTGCTGATCAGGAGGAGACATCAATGCGGGAAACTATACGCAAGGAAGAAGCCCATCAGAGAGAGATCCATCGTCAAGGTACTGCCACCGTTTTGGAAGGATGGATGGTTCTTTAGCCATCTCTAGAGCAGCATTCGAAGCCATGATCGAGGAAGCGACGGCCGAGCTGGCCGAGAACGAGCGAAAGCAAAGAGAAGCGGCAGAAAGAGCTCAAGAGGAGCGAGCCGAGGCAGCGGCAAGAGAAGAGCAGTGCCGAGCCGAGATTGCTGCGAGAGAGGAAGCAAAGAGGAGACAAGAGATCCAAGAGCAGCGGAGAGCCGAGCTAGCAGCGAGGGAGGAGAAGAGAGCCGCCGAGCTTGTAGCGGTGGAGGAGGAGCTAGCCGCGGAGCTTGCTGCGCGCGAGAAGAACTTGTCCGAGGAATGGATTATAGAGCGGCTCGAGTGCGCTGACAAGGAGAGGAAGTTTAAGAAGGAGCTCCAGGAGCGCGTTTTGGAGCGAGTGGCCCAAGACAAGAACGTCGCAAGGCCTATGCTCTGGGGAACCAAAGGTTACAAGAGTCTCTGGGAAATAGCAACTAATATAGACGACTCTACTTAACAATTTTTTCTAAACAATGGTTGAAGAAAATTTTCGTCCTCTGGGAAGTGTGTGTCATCTTTTAAATTTTGGAAGCGTTGCGAAGTTTCTCTTTGCAAAAGGAGCTCAGATTTCTTCCTCTTAGTTCTTGGTAATCTTATTAGTGTTTTTCTTGCAAAATCTTGGGAAATGCATCCTTCATGAGACGTTTATACAAGATCCTGATTGAGTGTCTTTCGTATTCCAGGGACTGGTTTGGAACTCAAACCAATGTCTTTTCGATCTCTCTACAAAACATAAGTTGTTTACAATTTATATAATAATAATTCAGAATCCACCATCGCGTTTGCCAAGTATATGTATTTTTTTGTGATCAATTATAAGTTTCTCAACAATATTCATGCTTGGTTCTCTAGCTGGTCCTAAACTCGGGAAATAAAAAAGGAATTAGGACGAGAAAACCAATGAGGAAACTCAATCTCACCTCATTCACAAAAATCGAATGGAAACCATAAGGAATCCTTACAGGGATCGAGACCACAGCAACTGGATCGGCTGCCATTGTCTTGGCATCAATCACGACTGCCTCCGATTTTCTGGAAGAAAAAAAAACATGAAAAAGCTTGAGCACACGAAGATGAACTCTCATCTTACCCCGCCCCTTCGTCGTAAACAAAAGAGATGACGTAGCCATCGTCTTCATCCGCGTCCTTGTCCGAGCTCTTTGGAACAAACACCGCCTCGGAGCCAAACCGGCGACCTCCATACATGAACTCCCCGACCACATTGCTCCCAACGGGATTACCACCATCCCTGGAGAGCTCGGGATCCTTGTGGAGATCAAACTTCGCCACTCCTTTGATCCTCACTTGATCGTGGAAAACGGCAGCATACACGTAACGTTGCTTCCTGTGAAAGTACGAGATTTATGGATGCAAACTCTCAAGAGAGCCTATAACCTTCCTATGTAGTTTTCGTTGATGCGAGGAAACTCCACCGCTGGTCCCTTTGACAGTGGACGCTGCAAAGCAGCACCGCTCTTCATGTTGAACCGAAATTCGTAGCTGTGTCCAAGGATTTTGTGAGGAAAAGAGAAGTAGAGACTTGAAAAAGAAAAGAACTTACAGCTCGAGAACATGATCGTTAGTGTCTTTCATGAGCTCCATGTCGAACTTTGGCATGCGGCAAGCAACGAGAACTACTTCGTCCCCGTCTTCCCACGCATTTGCTGCTTAGAATCAACAGGTCCAATGTTAGAACATTTAGAGAAAACTGTGAGAATTCTAACCTGTGTGGAAAATATAACAACTTGGAAGATGAAACCAGCGCATCTGGCTGTCGCTGAGAGCATAGCGAGGCAGCACTCCAAAGCGGGACTTCTTCGTGCTGTCAAACGAGATTATCATTTTTCCTTCACCCATGTTCTGTAAACCAGAATAAATATATAAATAAATACGAAAGATGAGAGACTGTTTGTGTGTGTGATTGTCCCACCTTTGGTTTAAAAGTCATTGGAAGATCCATGAAAACTGCGTAGTTCTCCGTGATTGCGAAGTCGTGCATCATCACGGGGTCGGGGATGTTGATGCTTACCGGATCATGCAAAGTTCCATCTTTCGAAATGACGCGATAGATTACGTATGGTGTTTGCTGTTGGTAACAGAAGAAAAACATCTCGCCTGAAGAAAAGTAAAAAAGAAGAAGAAAAGCTTGACTTTAGCTCATATTTTAGAATGAAAGAACTAACCTGTCACAGGGTCAACTTTGGGATGAGCAGTAACAGCGTGAGACAATCTTTTGTCATAGTCAAGCACGCCAATTGTCTCAAGGTTCCCATCTTCGAGCATTCGAATAGCATCTGACAAAAACAAAAATAATGTTTCCTACAAAGATAAAAACAAAGAGGAAACGAGCTTACATGGTTTGTCAGCCTCTAATAGTGCTAAAAGTTTCTTGTTGTGATACACCATGGCTGTATTGGCTGCGGAGAACACGATTAAATGAAATTAAAAAAAAAAGTCTTCGTTTTACCAGTTCCCATGCCATACTCTGCGTCCACAACACCGAGAGCAACTCGCAGCCGAAAAACATTCGCTAAGAAAATCCCAAGTATTCCTTTCAAGTCTCCCACCTTCAAAGGGATTTCAGCTTCAACAAAACCAAGAACCAAGGAAGAAAAACCATACACACCTTCAGGAAAGTTGGAGTGCCATAGAATTCCTCTTGTTTTAACTTGGAGGTCTTCACGTAGCGAGAGACATAGTTTGCTTTCCCGTCCTTGATTCGCAGACCATGCAGCATTCTGGTTGAAACAAAGAACAAAGATACGTGTAAGCCAACGCATGATAGAACTAAGAGGAAAACGTAAATACCCATCTCCGTCGAACCTACAAGTAAGATGGGGATAAAATGGAGAAGAAAAAACGAAAAAAAAAACATTCATACCAGTGGTAGCCTGCTGTAGGCTCGAATCTCGGATTTGGTCCAGTGCGCACGAATTCTCCATTCAAGCATTCCTGTAAAGAAAAGAACGAAAAAATCAAGACAATGCGAAGACAAATCCATTAACAAAGCTTACCGGGAGAGCGCCAGTTACTGGCAAGTCCGCCAATGGCCCAGACTCTCCAACCGGCGCGAAGTTCTCTTGAAGAAACAGGTTGGATTTGCTGGAAGCGCCGCTAAACAACTGGACGAGCAAAGCCTCGATCCCATCGCAAAGCTTGGCAGCAATCCTGGCTCCTATGCCCGGCGTTCTTGGCTGGACGATCCGGACGCCAAGGGGCAAGCTGCCCAGGAACTTATCTTGGCTCTCCTTGCGCAGCCTCTCGGTTCCCATCCCTCCCAAATTTTTTCTTTCCTGCCGCAAAGAACCACGGCCTTCCAACTAGTTAGTGGCCGTCCATTTGGACGCTTGTAGATTCGAAGCCAGTGACTGTGGCTGTGGAATCACCGCGTGGCCGGATTTGCCACCGTTGGATGAGTAGCGCAAACACTCCCGCCAAAATAAGTTTTAAAAACGTAACATCAACAACAAGAGATGAGAACGGGGACGACAGCACTTGGATTTTTCTATTGCTGATGAGGTCTTGGTGTACATTGCACTTAATCGAAAATATCCTAAGCTTCGACCTTGCTACTTTGGTCCTTTTCGAGATTTTTCCGAAATTCAATGACTCGGGTTCGATTCACCTTGGGACTGGATGCCATCGCAGCAGCACTCCCCGCATTGAAGCCGGAGATCGCGATCGCGATGACTGGGCCTCCAATACCTTGACTTTCTCGAAGAAATCCTCGCAATCTTCAGATCCGGGCCCAGCCCGCCAGTTCGCCCTGACCTACGGCGCGAAAGAAAGCCAAATATCACATTTTAGGGGCGTGGTTGAAGAAGCTGTGTCAAGAGAAGCGGCTGTAAGTTCTTCGATCCGACCAAGGAGCAATACATTTCTCAGTGGAATTTTCTCTTTGTGTTTGTGGAAGCTAGGTATGCCAGCCTGAGCTTAACGAGGTTCTTGTAGGGGCAATTTCCACTGTTTAGTTTGCGTCTTTGCTTCCAGGGTATAGTCGAGATTAAAGGCCTCGAAGAGTACACTGGATTGGTATCTATTTCTCTTTAATTCTGAGAGGATTTCTTTGCAATAATACTGAAGATCAAAGGTCTGGATTGCCTCGTGAATCTTCACTGCCTCTATTGAAGAAAAAGAATCTTTGCATGCCTGATTATCGGCCACATCGAGTGCTTCCAAGTGGGGGAGTTTGTCAAGTCCTTCCACATCTTTGAGCAAGTTCTATAAAAACTCAAGTGTGTTCTATGGTGAGGTATTGCAAAAGTTACAATGCATTTACTTTGTGGATTTAATTGATGCTTTGTGCTTGAAAGGGCTCAAGGGCTGAAAGAGTGGAAGAAGTTTTTTGCCCATCACTGGAGAGTGTTTCTTACTCAGTAGCCCATGTTTTTGCTCTTCCAACAATATCCACTGGCAACGACCAATGATCTAGAAATGTAGTGCACGTGGTTTTGACCCTTTATCCTATGGTGATTTACCATAGGATAACACCACGAAGCGGAACCTAAACCCTTTTTGTGCCACGTGACAGATGCCACGTGTCACATGCTACGTGTCCATGCCACATGTCCATAGGAACCCGAGGTTCAGGGCCTTGGGCCACTGAACGAACGAACGGTGCCAAACTCCTAAGCGTGGAGCCAAGGAGTGATGGAACCGAACCACGGAGCAACTCTCGAGCATACAGCCCAAGGAGTGAAGGGACAGGGGCCCGAAGCGACTTGGAACAGTCCTGGAGCAACCAGCATCCCAATGCCAGGACCAGCACGCAAAACGGAGCCAAACGGAGTCTGGCGCTATTTTAGCATACCGGTGGCCTAACGTGAGGATATGGGTACTCCACCAGCTAGCATGGAATGGAACTTGGGTTTAGACCCAAGCCAGACGCAGAACAAGGACAGGCACGCAAGCGGGAGCTAGACGATGCCTCAGGTTGGTCGGCCATGCCCGACCTACCCACTATCCCTACTATACATTTGGAACCCCCCACAGCCCCCCCCCCCCCCCTTGAGGAACACACGCTTTGGGCTTTCACCCCAAGCCTCCCTTAGTATCAGGAGTTAGTCTCTAGGACAACCTTGAAACTTACTAAATATGGAATGTCCTTAGAATGTGAATTTGGACACGGGACGAACACCATTGTGTTCAGGCCGATCTCTACATTCCGTAGATATGCCAAATGAGCAAATCTAGACACTTTCCATAAATAGCATTTGGGACCGAAATGAGACTAACACAAAGGGCATGATAGCGAGGGTGTTTGGCAGACACGGTAAGCTATCATCTAGCGATATTGAGGGACCAAGCTCAATATCGCGGGGGTTCCCAACACTAGCAAGTGCAAGTCAATATCATGAGTTTCTCATCACCGTGTCAAGTCTGCTTGACTAAATGACAACTTAGGATTTCCTTCCTTAGTGCCCTTCCGGTCTAAGTGCACATGTGATGACCAGTTTCTCAACTAACTTAGGCAGAGACTGATAACAAGCCCAACA